ACCCATGTTTCGTCACCTGTTGTAGCAAAAACTGGTGGACACACTCGACACGTTGCTGTTTGCGATTTTCTGTAAGCAGTTGCGGTTCTCACACATACCGTGCACACAGTTGTAATAGCTTAATTTGTGTGGAAAGTCTCAAGAATACGCAAAGCGAGGTCTTTAATGGTGACCCTCCTATCTTTAAGCAATATTCTTTCAACTTTTTCAACAATTTAGTCTGAAACTAAAGGCCGCCCGCTCCGATCTTAATCGTTAATTTTCATTCGGCCTTCACTAAATTCTCTACACCATTTGTCAACATGTTAAACATACATCCATTCCCCATATACTTCGATTAAATGACGATGAATCCCATTTTGCACTTAAAAAACGTTACCACAGCATGAATTCTGGCGGTACGAATTTGGGAAACCTTTTTTTACGAATAACTGTCAAACCTGCTCCTTCCGTGTTTAGGTTATCATTCCACCTCTCAATATGCTGCATGCTTCGATGTAACTTATATCTAGCTATTCTCACTACTTCTTTCGTCGTTCCTTATTTCATTCTATTAATATGTCCATTCCACTGTTTTTTTTTCTTTTATTAAGCAGTTATTGATGTCATATAGATCTTGCATGCATGTCGTTCTTGCCATTGTACATATTATGTCACGATAGGTCTTACATATGTCTTCTCCAAGTTAATCGTCGGTCCAGATTGACTCCCAGATATTTTGCATCTTTTTTTTTATTGTAAGAACTGACCATTTAATGCCACAGTTGGGCAGTGAGCTCTTCGTAGAGAGTGGGTGACGTGGATAAATTTAATTTCATTTGATTTAATTCTCCAGGTCAAGAGGAAACAACATCGAAGAGAGTTCCGGTCCCTTCGGAAAGTTCTTTTAGAACTTTATCATTAATTAAGTCATATCCTGCAGATTTTTTTCAAATCAACATATGTATGGATCTTGTGACTTGGTTAACGACGAAATTTTGAATAGAATAATTCCAGTTAATATGGGGTTTGCAGAATGTCTTCAATGTCGAAGTTATTTTCATCGGGATATGGTTGGAAGACTTTTTCTAAGTGCTCGGCAAAAACTTTGACTTTGTCCTCATTACTCATTACCCATTGACGATCTCGAGTAGGTACAGAAGGGTTGCTAAATTGAGGCCTTTCTAATTTTTTACAGCTTTCCATAAATTGACAATATTGGCAAATAAACGATTTAACTTCCACATTTGGTAGCTTTTTAATTGTAAAAATTTCTGTATATTACTCTACTATCTCTTTTATATAATCTTTCCGTTTTTACACTTATTAATTCTAAAATTATGCTTGATATCTTAATATTTTAAAAAATATATGACATTTTTGCAAAAATTGGCAACTACGCATAACATTTTATGACCGCATTGATCTAGATGAGAATATGGAAGATGAATACCACAATGTCGCTGACAAGCGTATTTATTCCTCTTTGCTTTACTGAATATGGATAGATAGATATTTTGTCAATATCAAGAAGCTTAGTTGTTGCATTTTGTGTACACACTGTTCGCATTGGTATAATTCTGCTTAACAACTAGGCATATTTGACATAAATAGTAAGTGATTTATTTAAAATGGTTCTGAAACTATTTACTTCTGGTATATTTCACACCGATATATTTTTTGGATAAAAACAATTGAGATAACACAATCCATTGCAATGATAATTACATTTCCAATTTTCTGTTTAGCGTTTCGATTTAAAAGGAAACGCGCTGCCACCTCTCCTTTTTAATATCATCCTAGAGAAAGTAGTAAGAACAGAAAAAATTAGAACAGAACTACTCACAGTAAATGGACCAAAATTACTACTAAATAGCATACGCGGATGAGATTGCCTTTGTAGGAAACAAAGTCACCAATGTAAAGAAAACATATAAAATAAATTAGAAATAGAGACAAAAATGTCGATCTCCTTAGGGGGAGCGCCCACCAAACTGGCGTGGCACGTGGCAAGTAGCAAGCGTCTAGCATGTTACATAAAATGTAACCAATGCAAACGAATGATTAGGTCGAATGACGTCACTTACATTTTGGTGTGCGCTGAATCATTTGTTTTCATTGGTTATATTTTAAGTAACATGCTAGACGCGCGCTACTTGCTACGTGCCACTTACCATGTCAGTTTGGTGGGCGCTCTTCCTAAGGGTTAATATAACAATACAACTGTGAAAGAGATTTTAAATATCTCAGACCGACAATCACCGCAGCTAAAGATATCACGGAAGAGATAACAGGGAGAATTCAGGCAGCTAACAGATGTATGTATAGCCTCCACAAACTATTAAATCCAAGAGCCTAAAACGAACATAAAAAATCAGGATATATAAAACAGTGATTGACATCGGTGCTCATGTATGGGTGCGAGACGTGAACGCTAAGAAAAGCAATGGAAAGACAACTAAGATGTTTTGAGAGAAAAATCATTAGAAGAATTTTTGGACTTGATCCTGAATACCGAATGAGAACAACCAAATATATAGGGCTAGCGATGTAGTCAAAGAGATTAAATCGATGTGCACAGACTCCCGACCAAGTTAATCTGGGAGGAAGCCCCGACAAGATTTACAATGGGTCAGATAGATAACAATGGGGCTACCCACTGAGCTAACTATCAAGACTTACCCCGGGTTTTAATGCTACGAGAAAAAAATTGGATTTACAATGCAAAAATAGTTTTTTTTTTTAATTTCAAATAATTCTCTTTGTCCCTATGCGGATTCGGTTTTCATAATTACATTTCTCCAAAGTTTCTATATTTTATACTAATATCAATCCCTTTTACCGACATATCCTACCTAAGTGTCTCCACAGGTCTTCTTTGGTGTTCCTCTTCTACTCCTTGCAGAAATTAGCCTGATCAGCGATTCTTCGTATAGATTATCGTTTCGACCTTGAACATGCCTGAACCATATTTAACTATTCTCTCATTTTGGCATCAATTCGTGCAATCCCTAGACTTCCCCTAATATACTTATTCTTAATTGTATCCTTTTTTTTCACTCCACTCGTCCATCTAAGCATTATCATTTCATATTTTTGGAATTGAAAAGTTCTGAGAGGTGTTGTTATACCCTTGGTTGATGCATCACTGGTTAACAAAGAAACAAATAGTACAATAATGAAAATTAAGGAAGCAGTCCTCATCCTACTAAATGAGACCAATTGTGTAGCAAAATCTATATACAATACTGATAAACCTTTCCAATGCTGTAAATTTTACATGTGTGTGTTTAAACAATACGTTTGAAAGTTTTTCGGATTGATAGGGGAAAAATCACAGAATTTTTGCAAAAGATTCTTGGACATAATAGAAACCCAAACAGCTGAAGGTTAAGTACCTATAGCCGTGCCTATGTTTAAGAAAGGAGATAAGCAGAGTCCTTCTGATTAAAGAAGCATTAATCTTCTAAATACAATTCTGAAATTGACCACCAAAGTGACAACTAACAATATAAATAATAGTCTCATATTAGAAGATGAAAACAAGGTTTTAGATCTAGAAGACCGTGTACAGACGGTGTATTTATTTAGAAAAACCTATCGAATAGAATAAAGTAGTCTTCCCATGTTTTAGAGAGCTACAGAAAGCCTTTGATAGAATTCAGCTGGAGGATGTTATTGAATTATTGCGCAATAAGGGAGTTTCGCAGAACTTAATTAGAACAATTGAAGACACTTACAGAGAAAACACAAGAAAAGCACGAGCAAATGAGGAATTTTCAGAATATACTAAAGTATACAGTGGGATCAGACAAGGTGATTCACGAAATCTAGTACTATTTAATATTATTCTGGATGAGGTAGTAATGGAAGTGCTCAAAGTAAAAGGATATAAAATTGGACATGCTTGTTGTTCTTCTTTTCGTGTAGACATGACTCTGTCTATTTTTCAATGAGCCTCCAGTAACTTTTCGGCTTATGTGATCGTTCCATTCTACGCTTCTATTTCTTACAATGTCCTTGATGTTCACCAGTTTGCATCTATGTCGCAAATATGTACTTCTAGCTCTGTCCCATAGTGTTCCACTATCGATTTTTCTATTCGAATTCCACCATCGATTTTTTAACTATTTTTGTCCTCTTTGTGTCAATGTTTTGTAAATTCTGCTTTTCATTTCTTTCGCGATATTATTATCCATATTGTTTCATTTAGGCAACCTGCGGCTCTATTTGCTCTATTCACTTGAGCTTCCACTTCTGTTTCGAGCATTCCGTAGCTAGATACTGTAATGCCTAGATATTCAAACTCAAACTCTATAACCATACATTTTGTCTTTTTTTGGGGAAATTAACATGTTCAACTTTGACTTCTTGACTGAGCTAATCGCCAGTGATCAGGAAAGAACGCAAAAGAAAATATCGATTTAGTTTAAAATTAACTGTATTACACATGTAAAATACTACCTTCCTTGAAATAAAGAACTTATATTAAATATGTTGAACTACTATGTATAATGATAATTATTGTAGGCGCAAAATTTCGGGCCAATGCTTTTTAAATTCATTAATTTTTTTCGAATCCTGAGAAAACTAATAAGTATTTTTAAAAAATTTAAACGCAGAATGAAATAATACATTATTACTGAGGGCCGAAAATCCCTGAAAACTTCCATAATGTTTATTTTAATAAGTTACAGAGGTGCAAAATAAGAGAAAATTTAGTGTGATTTTTAATTTCAAATATCTCATTAAAAAAAACTTTTTGTTTATTCTAAGGGACTTTCGGCCGTCGGTAATAATGTAGTCTTTCATTCTGCGTTTAAATTTTTCAAAAATATTTATTAGTTTTCAAGAATTCGAACAAATTAACGCATTTAAAAAGCATTGGCCCGACATTTTACCCCTACGTTCTTAAATATCTCATATCAAAAAACCAATTTCAAATCCTAATCTATTATAATGATAATCGTAAATTAATAATATTAAAAGAGATATATTAAAAATGTCCATTATGTACTTACATTTGCGCTTGAGGTTTTGTCTCCGATTTTTTCCTTTTCTTATTGACACCTGCTGTCAAGGCGCTCATCTTACCCCAAACCGGGTCTTGCAGATCGCACGGGCCAAGCCTGTAACAAAATCCGTAATCAAAAATCATGAAAACAATAACGTATAAAGAATTTGACATATACATCCGGCGAACTTTTAGGCAAAAAGGACAGGGACTTAGGGTCTCTGAAATAAGATTCTCTCTAGATGAATGCTTTTACGCTGCTAAGCCAGTCTTTTTAAAAATTACTATTTTTTTTTTATTTTCCAATGAGTTTAGGTTTTTCTAATTATTTCTCTATTAAAGAGACTTATTGCAAATATAGGAAAGAAACAAAACTATTTTTACATAAATGTACGCATTACTCCCACATCTTCAATCATACGGTGGACGACGGCGTTGCTTGATGGATATATGAAATCATGACCATGATTCGTGTTCTTATCAATATTCCAGTGCTTATTACGTCACATCTTTGAAGTTCCTCCTCACCATCAGCTAACAAGACTGTCGTGCACATATCGATGTTGTTAATGCTTTTGCTGTTGTTTTTTAGTCCTCTTTTATTTTTATTTGATAGCTTGTAGCATTTTTTCAACAAAATCTGATTTCTTTCGGAACCTTCCAAAAAATTAAGCTTTGGGTTTCAAGCAAATTTATGACTTTATTCATATAATTTAAAGTATTTGCTTATAGAGCAAATGTTTTTGCTTCAGTTTTAAAGCAAGTGTGCAAACTTTTTAATTATAAACTAAAAAATAGGTTTTGCTACATTAATTTGGAGAAAAAGCATTTGCTACGTACATTAATTAGACCCATTGTTATTTCATAAATGCTTTTATGAAATTTGTCTGGTTATAAACATTACGTCAGTTAAACATATCAAATGTTTATTTTGCTTCCATTTATAACACGTCATTTGAGTTATGATTGCAATAGAATAAGCGAAAGCATTGTTGTAGATTAAAATTGAATGAAATTCATCTTGTTGAGACTATCTCTCATATATAATGAATGGCCACAAAATAATAAATTAGCTTGTTTATTGCGCAATTATTTTGGTTGGAGTTCAGACTAATTTGTTTTTATATATACTACAAACAACTTTCGAGATGGGCTGTTTTACTCAAATATAAAAGCAAATACACAAAAACCAGACGCAACCGTATTGGAATTGGAAATACCGTTGTTAATTTAATGCATATGTTAATTGTTTAAAATTATCGATCGACCTAGTGACCTCAATATTTTAAACAAAAGGAGGGTATTTCGTTATTGGGAAAATTATTGCGTAATAAACGTTCAGTTATATACTAAGAATGTATGCATTGTTTTTGTTATATGCATAAAGAATTCGCTATAAGCAGTTAGTTGTCTTCAGATTGCTGTCGAGTTATGAGAATCAAGTGGGCTGGCATATACAGTGTGGAAATCACTTATGGAATAAAATTGTTTGTGTCCATATATTTTAGAAAATTATAAAAATATTGGAATTCTAGAAATTCTAGAATTATAGAAAAGTTCGAATTTAAACATACATTTAAATTTACAGGGTGATTCACACAACGCTCTAACATAGTCCAAAATTTTATGTTTTTAAAAACTCCTTAACAACCTGTTATCAACGAGCTATATCATGTAGGGTCCTATTATTAATAATAAAATGCGAATTTTGAAATTATTTAAAATTTTCGTCAAATACATCAAAATGTTCTCCACCTTGAAGGCAATCTTGCCATAACCAAAAAAGATATAAAGAAAGTATGGAAAGAATGCTCGCAGAAACTTTTCCATGGCCTTAGAACAATACAAGAGCCCACCATTGAAGAAAATTCAGGTTCCGAAAAAATCACGGCAGCCGTCAGACAAATGAAGGATGGGGAGGCACCGGGACTTGATCAAATTCCTGCAGAACTGTTGAAGCTATTAGATAGAGAAAAAATAAAAATAACTCAAAAATTTAATGAAATATACAAGGCAGGAAAAATACCAGTAGAGTAGCTCAAATCGAAGTTCGTACCATTGCCCAAAAAACCAGGAAAAAAAGTTTGTGAAGATTATAGCACCATAAGCCTAATGAGCCAGCCATCTGCTAAAACTGTTTTTAAAACTCATCCATAAAAGAATTTATTGGAAATGCGAGGAACAAATTGCGCCCAATCAGTTTGGTTTTGTGAACGCCATTGGTACGAGAGAAGCTTTATTTAGCGTGCAGGTATTGTTTCAGAAATGTAGAGATGTCAGCTGTAATGTTTTTGCATGCCCAATTGACTACAAGAAGGCTTTCAAAAGAGTCAGGCATGAACAAATGATGGAAGTGCTGAAGAGGGCATGGATTGACGGAAACGACTTAAAACTACTAGCTAGCCTGTAATAGAAGCAATCAGCGGTGCTCCGAATAGATGGAGAATATACAGATCAGGTCAAAATCTTAAGGGGAGTGAGACAGGGGTGCATAATTTCACCACTGATATTCAATCTGTACTCGATGCACATTTTTGAAGAGGCTCTAAAAGATATTGATGAAGGCAGCTCAATAAATGGAGTCCAGCTCAATAAACGTTATGCAGATGATACAATAAAGTTTTCCAATACCATAGGGCTGCTAAATTTAATGAACAAAATAACGGAAACAAGCAGAATATATGGACTGGATATAAACACCAGTAAAACCAAGCTAATGATCATCAGCAAAGAGTTTCAATAACTGGAGCAAATCTGTATGTGAACAAAAGGAGAATTGAACGTGTCTCACCATACAACTACTTGGGAACTATAATCAATGAGTCGTGAGACAATACCCAAGAGATTACGCATCGGAAAGACAAAAAGTGCACTTTTGACTATGAGCTCTATGTTCAAGAGCCATGACCTCACCTTAGAAACAACAATAAGGCTCCTTAAATGTTACGTGTACTTAGTGCTTTTGTACCGAGTAGAAACGTGGACATTGAAAGCGAAAACTCTATCAAAACTTCAGGCTTTTGACCTATGGTTCTACAGAAGGATCTTGAAGATACCATGGACTGACAAAGTCACCAATGAAGAAGTACTGCGGAGGATGAACACAACCGCGGATTTGGTCAACGTCGTGAAGGGCCGTAAGTTGCAGTACTTTAGACATGCAATGAGAAATCATTGCAAGGTGAAATTGAAGAAAAAATGGCCCCAGGACGAAGAAGACTTGGCTTGCTAACCTGAGAGCATGGTATAGAAAGACTTCAACACAGCTATTTCGTATAGCAACCAACAAAGTCATCATGACCAGAATGATCGCCAACGTTCGGAACGGACAGGAACTCCAACAAGAAGTTCTACACCTCGATATTGGCAATAACACAGTCTTCTATAATATAAAACTCGTCCAGAAGTTTAAGGTGAAAATTCCTTTCTTTGAGGTCTGCAATAGTAGTTGGTAGAGCTGCATATATATATATACAACTTTGTGCTTGAGATAACCTCACAGAAAAAAATCCGAGGACACGCGGTCTGGTGATCTAACTGGCCACTCAAAAGTATCTATCCTTTTATTGGGGATAATTTCGTTTAAGTAAGTTCTCCCATTAAAGCATAACGGGGTGTTGCTTCATTCTGCGGAACTTGTCTCTAATCATTGTTAAATATTTTTTGGCTGTTAATTTTCCATCTACAAATAAAGACCAATATTATGATCGACCACTTGCGATACCTGCCCAAACGTTCACCTTTCGATTATACTGAGTATTACATAAAGAAACTATCGTCTGTTCCCCCCGCCAATCAATATCCTACTGTCAGAAATCGCGCCAATCCCCACGGTAATCCTCACGCCAACCTTCACCCAAACCACGTCACTATTGACAGTATAAATGAACCGCCCTCTGTTCATAGTAGCAGTAGCAGTTTGGGGGCTCGGAAGCCATGAATAAGACATCAAAGAGGATGTTGAAAGCTCGGCGCAATTTAGTATTTTTGACTCTTGCATTCTTTAGTATTATATACACACAAAACTGTTTAGTAGAATTACGAGTTATCAAGAATATACTTAATTTATAAACAAGTTTGAGAAATGCTGTTAAAACAAATACAGCTCGAAAATACATAAAATCAACAGAAGTAGTAATATAATGTGTGGTGAGAATAAATGTCACAAAAAAATGTCAATGTATGGTAAGAATAATTTTATCTATGTGCCTTGTAACAAGCTCTTTTCAACGTCTAATTGATTATTAAACTAAGTACAAAAACTCCAGGAGTCAGTTAGTATCAGTTTATAAATGATAAATTCAGATAAAATACATATATCTTATCACATTAGTTGTTTTAGTTGATTGTTTTTAGAAAATTATTTAGAAAACATTATCTTCACAAGAAGTAAGCTGAATTATGCACATCATGCTCACAGACATCTGTTCGAAAACCGTTATTTTTGTAAAAAATATAAAGAAACTCAGAATAATTAAACTGATAACATTGTATTTTGTTTTTAATGCTGATAGTGAATTCAAAATCATGTGTTATATTTCAAATATTGATTTATTTTTTAGTTCGCTATATGGAACAATTAGTCTTTAACAATGCCAAAAGTACAATAATAATTGCCCTGTAATCGCAGATTTATGTTGTCAATATCACCTAAATTGCTGTTTTAATTACAATTACTTTAATTGCTCTATTATAGACTTTATTATCCACAGACAAATTTATTGGTAGATTAAATGACATTCATTACAATACCTAACCTACCTTACCTTAGATATCTTTGTGTAAATTCAATATAAATATGCTTGGGCAATCCTAAGTTAAATTTCAAGAATAACTGATAGATTTTTGAATAAAAACTATAAATGGATGCTATACAGTTGAAAAAGTAATGTAAATAATGAAGAACCTTACATTTCTATAGTATAGTTTCAAAATTGTAGACACTAAATTCCAAGAAATGACGATGACCATTCTGAGTTATTCTTGATCTTCCAGTGGCGCATATCATTTTTTTACAAGTTATATGTACTACTATTCTCTCCTGGTCGCTAAAAAATTTCTAAAGGAATAAGTATGTGGAATCGGTAATTAGGCAACTGAATACTTAGACTTCGG